GATACACATGCTTCATTCTCATAGAAAAGGCTGTCTTTCATACCTTTCTTTGACTTTTTTGCCATTTGTATCCAAATAGGATCACAATTGGATTTGTACAACATATTACATTCAATAAAATATCTTTTTTGTTTGTTGTTTGTGTGCTGTAGGAAACCAAATCAGCTCCTTTGCTATACTAAGGCTTTAACTTTTCTGTCTCTAAAAATGGACAATACGTAGATTGTACTGAGAACCTGCTAATGGTAAAAAGCCCACATTCTAGTCACAAAGAAATTGATGCTTGCAAGCATTTAGAAACCTACTAATACCTCTTGTACAGATTCCCTTTTCCTTCTGTAAATTGTTATGCTGCATCTGTAAAACTGCATGGAAAATATAAGAAAGTACCAATCAGAGTAATTAACAGCACTGGGGAGTTAGTACCTGCCTACCATGGATTGTTTTGGGGTTGCTATGTCTTCTCTACAGTTAGGGCTATAGGCTAGAACTGGAAAATGAAGACACAACCAAGAAGAAAGCAAGAACAACCCACTTCCATGTTGTTGTCAAAAATCCTACATAGATGAGTCTATGAATTCATGAAGAACCTAATTCTTATTTAAACACTTGAGTCTGTCCGTTCCCAGTCTTTGCTCCAACAGACAAGCCAAGACTGGAGTGCCAGAATTCCCCACGGGGAGAACTCCTGCCAGACTGAAAATTCTGAAGGCTCTCATTTCAAACTTTTTGAGTTATGAAATTGAGGAAAGTTGCACTAGTAGATACTTGCTGTGTTCTATTTGCCAAGAACTGGCCAGCTGCAGTCATGGGAGAGTTTTGAATTGTTCAGAAAACAATGTAACAAAATCTTCTGAAATATGCTAAAGGATAAATGTGGTAAAAGGATACCTTACCAACTACAGTCAGTGAGATATTCTATATTAAAATAATGAAAATAAACTTATTACAAGTAAAATATTTACTTGGGGGGAGGAAGAAGAAAAATATACACAAGTATGTTTATTTTATGAGTGCTTATGATATTTATGTAATTTAAATCATTCCAAATGTTGTTTTCTCAAATTTTATACAGTAATCAGTCAACATAGACTGTCAAATATGAGGCATATTTCTGAGGAAAAATACCAGTGGATTTACTAAAGAGAAAAGATCACATTTCACTTCCATCTTAAGCAGGGGTGTCAAACTCACCGCCCGTGAGCTGGATACCTCATGTGCTGGCCACGCCCACCTCCAGTTTAGTAAAGGGGGGAAAGTTGTGATATGTCACATGACGATGCTGAGCCATTGTAAGTTCGACACCCCTGAACTAAAGGTTAAAATTCCTCACATTAGTGGCATGCATATGGCATGTATGCACACACCCTGTGTCTTGATATGCTGCACATATATGTGATTGGGACAACATGTGAAACTGGCAAATATGTTGACATACAGGGTAAGTCTCCAATGAGAGATCCTGACTTAAATAGAATAGCATGGGTACACTTGGAGTAAAACTGGGCTTTTGTTATGCTTATGGCACGTTGGCCCAACTGTGCCAGTCCATACTTGCAGAGCCCTTACATCAAATGCTGCATAATCAAGAGCCCCTGATTATGACATTGAACATGCAAACAAGCACTACTAACATGGGCAGCATCCTGCCCACACGCTTTTATCTTTCTTGGTGACTTCAATTTACCTCATATTAACTGGACCCTTAACAAATGTACAACTGAACCCACACATGCAACCTTCTACAATGCAGTAACAAATCTGGGACTAGAACAACTAGTAACCAACAACACTAGACTTAACAACTGCCTCGATCTCATCTTCTGCAATAGTTTGAATTCAATTTACGAAATACAAATTATGCAACAGTGACCACAACTTGATTGACTTTTGTCTCAACATATGCCCACACAAAAATCATCACAATGATGGAATCCCCAATTATAACTTCAAAAAAGGCAACTATGATCTTATAAACAACGATCTCTCATCCCTTGATTGGCAATTTCTATTCACTGGATGCAATACTGTAGAAAACCATTACAACATATTTTTACTTGAAGTCAAAAGAGTCATCAAACTATATGTACCATTAACAACTCCCAAAACCAGAAAAAACAAATTACCCATAACAATAAGGAAGCTTCAATCCAAAAAGAAATCACTTTGGCGGAAAAACAAATCTGGTCACGTTGCCAACTTCAAAAGCCGATACAAAAATTTATGCCACCAGATAAAAACTGAATGCACCAGTTATCACATTAAACAAGAAGAAAACCTTCTACGCACCAATTCCACACGCGCTTTCTATAATTTTGTAAACAACAAACTAAAAGACTCAATGTCAATCCCACCCCTGAAAGGACCTAATGGTTAAGACTGCAACAACGACACTATTAAAGCCAACCTCTTTAACACATTCTTTGGCTCAGTATTTGTAAACAGCAATGGATCATGCCCAGTATTTCCTAGTTGAACCACAGACAACTACAATGATCTAATACATATCGATTTTACAGAAGACAGTGTTGAAAAAGCACCACGCAATCTAAAACCATCTCTATCTATTGGACCGGACGGAATATGTGCCGACTTCTTTAAAAAGCTATCCACTGCCATAGCCGAACCTCTAAGCATAATCTTTGAAAAATCTTTCAGGACCAGCTCCTTGACAAAACTAGCCACGGTCATCCCCATCTTCAAAAAGGGAGACCCCAGCCTAATTGAAAATTACAGACCAATCTCTTTATGCTGCGTCACCTGTAAAGTCATGGAATCAATTATTAACCAATCCATCATCCTCCACTTAGAAACAAACAACCTACTCTCTAATAAACAATTTGGTTTCAGGAAAAAACTATCATGTAATCTGCAACTCTTACACTGCAAAAACATATGGACTACACAACTCGATCAGGGCAAAGCAATAGACGCAATCTACATAGACTTCTGTAAAGCCTTTGATTCAGTGGTGCATGACAAACTACTCCTAAAACTAAAATCTTATGGTATCTCTGGACAACTGCATAACTGGATAGAAGCATTCCTGTCAAACAGACAACAAATGGTCAAAATTGGGAGCGTCCTATCAAATTCTGTACCTGTCAACAGTGGTGTCTCCCAAGGCAGTGTTCTAGGACCAACTCTTTTCATACTCTACATAAATGACCTCTGTGATCATATCAAGAGCAACTGCATTCTCTTCGCTGATGATGTAAAGCTATTCAACACCACAGACAATACTGCTACCCTTCAAAAAGACCTCGACTATGTATCTGAATGGTCAAACAAATGGCAACTTCAAATCTCAACAAATAAATGCTCTGTCCTACATATTGGCAAAAAAAAATCAGAAAATAAAATACAGGCTGAATAGTCAAGACCTTGTTGATGATCAAAACTCTGTCAAGATCTTGGAGTACTCATCTCTAATGATCTAAGTGCTAGAGACCACTGTAACTACATAGCCAAAAAGGCATTAAGAGTTATTAACCTAATCTTACGTAGCTTTTTCTCTGGTAATGTTACACTAATAACTAGAGCATACAAAACATTTGCTAGACCAATACTCGAATACAGCTCATCAGTCTGGAACCCACATTGCGTATCTGATATTAACACAGTTGAGAAAGTCCAGAAATATTTCACAAGAAGAGTTCTCCACTCCTCTACTCGTTGTAGAATACCTTATGCCACCAGACTCGAAATTCTAGACCTAGAAAACCGAGAACTACGCCGCCTTCAGTCCGATCTAAGTATAGTACATAAAATCATACATTGCAATGTCCTACCTGTCAATGAATATTTCAGCTTCAACCATAACAACACAAGAGCAAACAATAAATACAAACTCAAGGTTAATCGCACCAAACTTGATTGCAGGAAATACGACTTCAGCAACAGAGTGGTCAATGTCTGGAATACTCTACCTGACTCTGTGGTTTCTTCCCCAAACCCCAAAAACTTTAACCTTAGACTGTCTACTTCACCCCATTCCTAAGAGGTCTGTAGGGGGCGTGCATAAGTGCACCAACGTGCCTACCATCCCTGTCCTATTGTTTCTTTTATTTTTTATTTTTCTTATATGTATCCATGTATTCATAACTATGTTTTTACTTATACCTATTATCTTGTAAGCAATTGGCATAAATGTGTGTGTGTGTGTGTGTGTGTGTGTGTGGTAGCACAAGCAGGGCCAAGAAATAATTAGAGAACAGATTGGAGAGACAGAGTTACAAAACAAGTTAAGCCATAGGAAAAATATATCCCAACCATTAAGAGAAATACAGAAATTTTGCTCACACCTGGAAAACATTTCTACTCAGTTACATGCTCCAATTATAGATGGCCCTTTTCCAGGGCTTGCTTTAAATTTCTCCTTGGGCATCTTGGAAGGCAGCTTTAAAACATCCCAGGATTGCAAAGTCAGTATTCATGTAGATCAAGTATCATTGAACCCATATAATTTTTTTTCTAGATGGGCCTTTTTGTACAATTTTTTAAAAATCTGAATGTAAATTACCCTACAGTTGATAAAATCTAAAGTTGCCTAAGCTGCAGCAAAACGTTGCAACTTTGCAACATGGATATGCTGTAGGTAGTTTATAATCACAGGTCAGACTGGCTATCTGCAGAGTTAACCTTGTTTATGTATGGAAATAGTTGAGCCTTTTAATATTAGTTTATTAATATTTCTTGTATTGGATCTGATGTTGGATTTCTAGTCAATGCCTTCAGTAAAGTTTTGATTTGATCTGACATGGGCACAAACTTTTCTATCTTAGGAAGCAAAGTATTTAGTACCTATGTAGTACCTATGTAGTAAATAGTAAAACATTGTGAAAGTCCCCATCAACCAAAACCATGCTAGGCAATAGAAGCTAATATTTACAATATCATCTGGTAAAAACGATGGCATATACCAAATTGGGATTTGGAATGTAAAGGAATAAATGTTAATAAGCATGAATTAATTAATGGGTTATTGGTGTTTTTTTTAGAAAAATAAGTGCATTATATACCTGTGAAAATAAAAAAAAATGGACTCAGGTATAATAGATCTGAATGAAGATGGCCTGATCTTATGCAGTGGACTTGATCAATGCATGCAGGGAAATGAAGTTTTAATTATGACTGAAAGACTGAGTTGCATCTCAGAAAGTATGAAATGTGTCTTAGCAGCATATAGTAATATAGGGATGGGCCTGTGTGCCAGCTCTTTGGGATGCAATGTATTATTTGATAGAGTCTGAACAATACAATTAACCTAGAAGTTAAATAATGAGGCAGTGTTAATTTCCATTGCAATAAGGATAGGATCAGTAAGAGTTCAATTAGCATTACATTTAATTTGCATGAAGTAACTCTTGTGTACTAGTATGAGGGGTCACAATAAGTAAATGTTAACCAAGATCGTTATGTCTTTCAAGATTGAAGCCGTTCCACAAAAAAATTGTATCTTCAAAAGAAGTTTTAAATTTGGAGCAGTCAGAAAAAAAGTGAAACAAGCTGGAAGAAAAGTACAACACTGTGGGAAGGGATACAAGCATTAGAAAGTATATTAATCTCCTAACAGAATGAATGAAAGGTTGACATAAGAAAAGAGGATGTGGAAGATAGTTTGAATTGGGTGAAAAGAATAAAATAATGATATAAAGCAGTGGTTCTCAACCTTTTCTTCATCACAGAGCCCCTTTAAATACCTTTTGTGGCCACGGAACATGATCATGGTCCCCCAAAACTTAAATCAAGATTTAAATCATAACATTTCTTCAAGCCTTCATGGACCCATTGTGACAACATCACAGCCTCCAGGGGTCCATGAGCCACAGGTTGAGAACAACTGTTACAGAATGCCAGAAAAATGGGTGGAATTATGAAAACTTGAAATAGAAGACTTTCATAACTGATAACTTGAAATGTGGATGACAAATACATATATACATTGAGGATGAAACATACTAGTACATAATACAGAGATGTGGTCAAAGAGCATGGAAAAATTAAAATAGGTAAAAATGCATAATAATGGAAATCAAATATTGTTGGGAAAGTTGGGTGAAGAGGGCTAAAGAAGGAACCTCCAGCAAAGTGAATAGAATCAAAAATAAGAGTGATAAATTATTTGGGAGGGAAAAATGAGGCAATGGTAGAAGTTTTAGAGTTTGTATGGGAATTCTAGTGATGTATTGAAGAAGCAAACTCTGGAAAGATTAGTGCCCAAGAAAAATGACTAAAGAAGAAAACATAAATGTTGTAAAACCTAAGAAAAACTATAAGGTTTCAGATGTAGCTAGTGCATCTGGATCAATTCAAATATGGATGTGGTCTGCTTATGGAGTGATTGTGTGACCTGTTAAATATGTATGGAGACTGCATCTGTGCGTCATGACTGAAAGAAAGCCATTGTTCTCTATAGAAATAGAAAGAGGAACACAACAATTATATATTAGTTTGCTAAACATACCTGGGAGCTTGTTTGGAAGAACGTTATTCAAAAGGGTACAAAGTGTGAGAATGAGCACAATTTCAGAAATGCAATGTTTGTTGTGCAGAGGGTGTACAAACCAAGTTTTGTTCTGCAGGAGGTAATGTATGAATGTGAGACTGTATATCTATAGTTGAAGTTTCATTGTTGAATGCAATGAGCAATATGTAAATAAATCATGTGTGATAATAAATGGAATGCCTTACATATGGGTCAATATTGAGCAGGATATAAGAATATTTTTTTCCTTTGCATATTTAATGTATTTATGAAGAAATGTATAAAGGGTGCTTTTGATTATGTTTGTGGTGCATTGTTTACATAGATAGCACAGCTAGACAAGAAAATGAAAAAATAATAACATGCATACAGTGGCATAATAATGCAAACTTCACGTTTTTGCACCGACTGAATTAGCTAATTCACTGGATTTGTGTCATGACATAGTGATGTGCTGTTTGTCATTTGCCTCCCTGAGGAGGCTTACGGTTGTTTTAAAAAGTACATGTATATGCATATGATGCTGTGGACTTGGATTATTTCCAGCAAATGTTAGATAGATTGTATGTTGCAACAAGGATCATGGCTCTGAAAATATCAAAGGTTATTTGACAAGGAAAATAAAGTGAGCAATTGCAAGCTATAAACAAATGGGGGGGGGAATAGATAAATGTGTGCATCTTGTAGAATATTTACTAAAAGAGGGACCATGTATGAAGAAATTTTAAGACATACAAGTGCAAAATAACAAATAGCGTGTATATATTTTGAGGATGAATGTTGAAAGAAGTGAAAATTGGTATGGATAGAATTGTGGTTTTGCCCATTCTGTTTCATGGAAGTGAGATTTGGATATATCACGAGGACCAAAAAAGTAAGATAAATACAGTTGGAGTGACTTACTTTTTTAGTTTGCATGTGATAAATTAAAAAAAATTATTAAATTTTTGCAGTCTAACTTGACATGGGGCATCTCTAGGCAGCTAAAATGAATGAATGGATTTAATACAAAAGCAAGTGACCAGAGGTGGAATGCAAATATTTTTACAACTGGTTCTGTGGGTGCAGCTAGGTGGGCATGGCTTTTTTTGCAGACACCCCCCCCCCCGTCCCCCTGCACTCCGCCTTTTGGCCTCCTCAGCTTCAGGGAAGCCTCCTGGGGAGGGCGTTTTTGCTCTCAGGAAGTTTCCCCGAGGCCCAGGAAGGCAAAAAACGGAGCGTAAGGGGGCCGCGCAGGACCTCCCCATGCTCCGCCTTTTGGCCTCCTGAGCTTCAGGGAAGCCTCCCGGGGAGGGCTTTTTTTGCTCCCAGGAGGCTTCCCTGAGGCCCAGGAGGCCAAAAAATGGAGCATGGGGGGGGGTGCAGCCCATACACACCCCATGCGCCCTTTTGCCTCCTGGGTGAAGCAGTAAGACAGCGAAGGGGATCCTGGCTCAGCTGATCATCAGAACATCTGATCATTGGACTTCCGGTTTGAAAGGCTTCGGCGACAGATAGAAATCTGTGATCGTGCGCGGTTTCTGTCGGGGCTCACTGCTGGAGCGCCCTGAGCCGGCTGGTTTCGAGGCTAAGCCACCCCGTAGAGGTGGTGAAGAGGGGGGAGACCGCCAGCAGGGTTGAGGAGAGCCGCATCTCTCCTCCTCAGCTGGCCATTACTCCCTTTCCCGAAGGCGGTTGCAGCGGTAGTCAGAAATGGCCACCGCAAAGGAGAACTCGACCGGAAAAGAATGTGCAAGAGGAAGATAAGAAGTGAAAGTTTTGGCTGACCAGGTTAAATTGTAAAAGCAACAACTAAGGTACCCTGGAATTTAAACTTACAAAAAATAACATTGCTCCCAAACAAGAGTCGGAAGCAGTGAAGGAAAGTGAAAAGGGAAAGGTTTGCCTTTTTCTTCTTCTTCTCTCTCCTTCCCTATACTGACAACTAAGAGACTTAAATAAGAAATCGGAAAAATCCGCTTTGACATCAATAGGCAATTAAACTGAAAATAAAACAAAATGCCAAAGGGATAATAAAGATTTCTGGACATTAAAATTTTTCTTTTTCATAAGCAGGAAGGGAGAGAAAAAAAATAAGGGCAGGATCTGGAAGAGGGAGGAGAGTGCCTGGAATTAAAAAGAATCTACAGTAAAACTTCAACAAGACTTCTAAAAGATACATTTTAACTTTGCAACTAAATAGTAACCCCAGGAAGAGATAGTGAAAAAAAAGAGCAAAAAAGAAACAGCTTGCGTGTATTTGGATTATTTGGTGATCTTTGGATTCTTGGTTATTATATTTGAATGACTAAAATCAATCGGGTGGTTGTTTAAAAATTTATACAATGGCACTACTTCTGGATGAATTGAAAATGGAACTTCAAAAGTACAAAGAAGATGCACAAGAAGGGAAGGGTTCTTTTGGCTTCGTTTTTCAATTCTTAGAAATGGAGATTTGGAACTATGAGAAACAACAAGAAAAGACTGCAAAACAAGAAGACTGGGAAAAAGAAGAAGCCATCTTTAATGAACAAGCAATTTTATGTGGGGAAGAAAAAGGAAAGGGGGGAAAGAGAATGGAGAATTTAAGACTTAAAAAAAAACAACCAAAGAAAAGAAAAATAATTCGAAAAATAAGTATAATACTGGAAAGCAACAGAAAAGGGGAATACAGAAGAGAGAAATAGAGGTAGAGAGACAAGGGGATAAAAAGGGGAGAGAGAAGAAGAGAGGGAAGAAGGAAAGGAAAAGAAGTTACAAAGGACTGGAGCAAAATATAGAGAAACGGGACCTATTTAGAGATAATGGGTGAAAATCTAACTGAAAAAGGGATTCTGTAAAGGTACATAAGATATTATTGTTATATTAGTAATAGAAATAACTAGAAAATTGGAAACAACGTATGATTAAAATGAGGGATAAAATAGTGTAATTTAGTGAAATGTTTGTGAATAAAATAAGTGAAATAAAATAAATGAGAAAATTGAATTAGGAAGGAACGGGAACATTTTAGTTAGTTAATGTTTTATAAAATATAAGTGAAGGGGGGGAATTAACTATGGAAAGCTTATAATTGTTCCCATAGAAGTATGATATTTAATTGAAAAGTAATGTTAAAGATGTTAAGACTTCAATGAATATTAATATTAATGATAGAATTGAATTGGAATGGAATGTTGTTTTAATTATATACATTTATAATTTTTTTCTTTTTTTAAGAATACAGTGTGTATTTTAAGAACGTACCAAGCAGAATCCGAATGGAAGTTATGTATTATATTGAATGTTACAACTTTAGGGAAAAGATATAAAGGCGTCATACTCCAATCAGTAACTACAGGAGAAATTTTGTTTAATGAGAAAAGATAATAGATAATTGAAATAGGACAGACAAAAAATATGAATACAATGATTTGAATTGAGATGAGATAATTAAAATAAAATTGAGAAAATTAAAAGAGGGGAGAAGCTATGCAGAAAATGTAAAATAGTAATAAGATATGGAATAGAATATAAAAATGAGCATGAACCTGAATTTGTGTCTGTACGAAGAAATGTAACCCGGGATTACGCTACTTTCAAAAAAGATGTTTTATTTGTATTTTTTTGTGAAAACTCAAATAAAATTTACAAAAAAAAAAAAAGAACATCTGATCATTGGGAGGAAAAAAGAAATACCTTAAGGAGTGACTGGGCGGGGGAGAACGCAATCAGCGATATCAGGCATGCATGATAAGGACTGACTGGAAGGGGAGGAGGGGAGGGGCCAGCCAGGGGCATGATTTGCCAGTTCTCAGAACTGCAGAATCATAACAACCAGTTCTATAGAACCAGTCCAAACCAGTAGAATACCACCCCTGCAAATGACCAATATAAAAAGTGCATTGGTGTGGTTTTGTCATATAAAGAGAATGGATGAGTGATTTGCAAAACAGATGAAGTCCAGGATCTAATGAGAATCTCCAATGGGTCCAGGATAATTGAGGATCTAATGAGAATCCCCAAAGAGAAGGGTGAGACATTTCAGAACCAAAAATAATAATATATGTAGAAATGTATGGATGTGATAGAAGCAACTTATGGAGAAGTTAAGGGAATGGTATTAGTAGAAGTATTAGACTGAGTTATGCAGTACTGTATTTTCTTCTCCTTATCTCATGGCATTAACTGGACAGGGGAAACCCTTATTTATTCTTTCCCTGCTGCACTTTGCATCGTGTTGCTGATACAAAAAAAGGAAGAGTGTAGTGGCTGTATGTGTTTGTGTGCATTTTACAGCTGAGTCTCAAAGACTTGGATTTTAAAAAGTATGTGTATGAAATATGGTTAACAAAGCCTTAATCTGAGAGAACAATTTTGCTATAATTTTAATACAATCTTCAGATTTGGGAGCTGAACTGTTACAGTATGATAACAATACCAACTTCTTCATTGATAATAAACAAAACTGACTCCTAAAAGGAAATCTCATTATAGGATTCCTCTAATGAATAAAATGCTTTGTTTCTGGGTAAAACATATGCTTTGGATATATTGTTAGAGGAAAAAGAAATGCCCCAAGGAAACATGTGCTGCTGAAGAAAAGAGCTTATTATTATATCTGTGAGAGGTCAAAGTCTGTGGGCCTCTGGCTTATAGTATTATGGCAGATTACAAGAACATTCTGCTGTATTAGTCAGAATGTTTCCAGACATCAAGAGTAGGAAGCTGGGCACTAACAAATTAGCCTTGCTTTGACTTTTCCCCATTTAGGTCTTGTGATAGGTCAGCTGTTGATGGCATCCTCCTGCCTATTCACAAGGTCACATGGCAGAACCTCTTTCAAAGAGCAGCTGAGGGCTTTGAAATGAAGAAACATCTTTCTCAGCTGAAGAGTCTCTTTTGTGACAGAGCACGCTTTTACTAGACCAAAATCACTGACCCTAAGGAAAAAGGAAGGAGCAAAATAATCATGCCAGATGACTTTATTTTGGAAACGAAATATTCCGGCAAGAGAAAGATGACAATGAAACACAATAAAATCAGACGTGACAGAGGAGAGGGGAAAAAATAGGATATCCACCATTGTATAATGAACGGCATGTGCTAGATCAGTTGCTTGGCATTGAAAGCAACTGTGAAGCTTGGTTTACACATCACATTAAACCATAATATGTTTGATTTTAGTTTAGGTTAGAAGTACTCATCCAGTGAGATCTGTGAACCGTGCTTAGACATATTTATGGCTTAATCTGATAAACTGTGATTAAGCAAACCATGGGACTAACATAATGTCTGAACCCACATAATTAACTCAAAATGCTTGAATAGTTGTTGCTGCTGCTTCTCCTCTTCCAAAGACATATTCTTAAAATAGTTGTACTGTATATTGGGCTATCAGAACAACCCATAGATGGCAGCAGAGAGTGAGTTTACTGTATTCCTTTGCTGGCATTGTTATTTTTTTGGTAACCCAATTCTGGTAATGTCACTATTCTCCTGCTATCTTAGACTTAAATTCATATTGGGTATAGGCTATAAACTGCTGCAGGAAAAGCAACATACTGAACATTTCTTGACTTGATGGCTCCAATGCTGGCTTTTCCATTCCCAGACAGGAGACATATGACTATGCCGATTGGGGAAGATGAGATTTGTACTTTATGTTGGCACCGTGCTAGGAAAATGTCATTTAAGGTGACATAATTTGTAGAAATTAATGCATAAAATCCTATTAGCTGGCAAGTAAAGTCCTAGAATAATCTTTGGATCTATCCTATTTCTATGGGATATTTGTCTTCAGGATGTATTTTCTTAAAAACTGCATGCAACTTTCTTTTAAATATTTCTCCTTTTACATTCTTAGATACTGCATATTTCAGATATATTTTTTCTTAACATTTATAATGGGACATTTGTCATGAAATACATGCATTGGTATAGATTACAAATTACTTAACTGCTCATTCCAATAACTCTTTAACAACTCACAGTAATAATTTTTATAGTCCATGCACTGCATTATGTTTTTGAACTACCTGAATTCAAAGCACCTTACCCCCAACTGTTTAGACAAATAGATCCAGAGGATCTTCCCTTACTTTGGCATGTTTTTCTTTGAAAGGAAATTATCAAAAATATAAAGCATTTGCAGTCTTCCAAGGTTTATGATTGTACAGATTTGTCATGGGTAGTGGCAAATATATTATATGTTTCAATGCATTTACCAGATCAAATGCAACTCACCCCCCTCCAAACAAATTGAAACAGAACTTGCAATGCCCAAATCATCTCCGTGTTCCATGTGAAAAATAACTTGCCCTCCTCATCTTGCTCCTTTCCAGGAACAGAACTGAGATCTGGAATGTGTGGGAGAAGAGAAAAGCACTTTCTCTTTCAGATATTCTCTACAGATTTGAAAGAGCTCAGATAGATCAAATAAATGAAAGAAATGGTTCCTCCGAGTACTACAGGCAGTCCTCAACTTATGATTGGTCGCTTAGCGACTACTCAAAATTGCAACGAAACCCTCTAAAAAGCTACTTATGACCTGGTTTCAAGGTTATGTCCACGGCAGCACCCCTGTAGTCATTTGCCCTTATGACTGACTGCAGGGATGCTACAGCACCACCAACCCCACTTATCTCTCCCCCCTCAATCTATCCCACCAGCTCCATACAAATCTTGGGCCTGCTTTCCACCCCACAAGATCCTGCAGGCCCCACACCCTCCTCCCCCAACCCCCACTGTGCACTTACCTTTGAAAGATCTCTGAAGAGTTTTGGAGATTGCATTAGGGAAGACTGCCTCTCTGTCCCTTGGCATCCCTGGGCCACGTGGCTGCATCTCAGAAGCAGGCACCATTTTCAGAGGACTACCCGTAACTTACAACTTTGCCACTACAACAGACTCTTTGTGAGTTCTTCTGGATCCACTAATTCTCTCATATCCTTACTCTTTAATTTTTTACAAAACTGCTCACTGTAACATGGTATGAGTTTCTGGCAAGGAAATGGATGATTCTTGGAACAGGAAAACTGTAACTATAAACTATAGTTTATATAAATTTTATAAAACAGTATGTGTTTTGTGACTTAATGTGACTGTGTTTATTTAGATTCTTCTGCAGATGAAGAAAAAGAAGCATTCAAGTAAATAAGAAGAGTAATTCTGGGCAGACTGAAAATCATCCATTTGCGCAAGAAGAGTCGAGTTCAAGTTCAAGGTAATTCAGTCAGCAGAGGACTCGGAGCCATAGAATGGAACAGATGTGAACCTCTCTGTGTCAGCCATGTTTTGTTTGTGACTACCACCTCCCCAAACTCCATGTGTGAGTATTAAGTGTGCAGCGGGGAAACTATGCATCAGGGAACAGCCATATACAATCAACCCTTTGAGAACTAACTATCCTGTTGGGATAAAACTGGGGAGAATAGTGAACCCCTTATCCTTTCCAGACAAAATATGCCTGACAATGGTTGCTTTGTAAAGATAGTCTTTTCTTTTGAAGGTATAAAGATAATTTTGTGAGGATGAAATCTATAGGTAAGATTCCACCTTCTCTGATTCAAATCCTTTCCAAGTTGGGGATGCAGCTTAGTTTGTTAACCCAGTTTTTTGCCCAGAGCTATTTCTAAATTAGCACTGTATTTACTGTGTTAATATAAACCTCTCCTTACATTTGAAAAGCTAATTAAGATCTAAGGTTCAGTTCATCTACAGCAATATTGTAGCACCTGATCATAATAATAGCACCATTTGGTCCTATAACACTTCTTATTCCCAGTCTGTGACTTTTTATGTGTTTCCAAGAAAAGGCATTGAAAAAGAGCCATTGATATGATTCCTTAGTAGATGAGAGCAAAAGGTTCTCTTTATATTTAATCTCTTCCATGCTTTGCATTGCATGGAATAAAGCATTTTTAAAAATAACTCTGCAGGTGTTCAAGCATAATGCTTTGAGAAACAAATAATTATCATGTACCATCATATACATTTATTCCCCTTGTGGTACTCTAGTGATTTTCCCTGAGTTTCCCATAATCTCTTTAGATTTCTATTATGAAGTTACATGATTATAGAGCAGGGATGTCCAACCTTGGCTGGTTGGGGAATTCTAGGAGTTGAAGTCCACAGGTCTTAAAGTTGCCAAGGTTGGATACACCCACCATAAAAGCTGACCCTGTCATCGGCAAGCTAGAAGACAAGAACTTCTTGGGGCTCCTCAGATCTGAGTTGTAAAACCTATAAAAGGTGTAACTATTCTGCCCAAACAAGAGAGCTAGAAGCTACACTTTCTTGCTTTTTAAAGTTTAAAAGTGGTAGGGAGCATATTTCAGTCAGTGTGACATTTAGAGCAAAATACTCCAAAGATTCCATGATAATATCCTTGCAGCTGAGCCTTCACATGTGTCCAGTGCAAAGGGAGATTGATTGTGAAGACTTGCTCTAAACTTACAGGGGTGGTCAATGCAAAGTGTGTGTGTATGTGTGTGTGTGTGTGAGAGAGAGAGAGAGAGAGAGGGAGGGAGGGAGGGAGGGAGGGAGGGAGGGAGGGAGAGAGAAAACCCAGTAAGGCTCAAGAAAAATGATATATTTTCTGCCTGTCTCCTTGAATAGCAGAGCCTCATTCAGTGGCATGATGAGTGAGAATAATATTGGAAACTAGCCATAAACTTTGGAAAGATGGGATGTGTTGACGTTTTCTGCAGTCCAGAATTGAAAACAGTATTGTCAGGCAAAGACATTGCTTTTGCATTATTTCTGAAGTAAGCACTAACAGAAACAGAGGCAGAATATATCTGCTTCCAATTTTAAAATGTCTATATGCATAGTTAACTGTTCAATAAAGAAGTCTATTTAAAATGTTTGCAGTTACACACATCTATGATTACTGGTGAATCAGAGTCACACTGAGTTACCCAATGTGAAAGCACTGGAATAAAAAGCGGCAATAAGGCCTTTTTATCTCTTATTAGTTCATATACACTTTAGTTGGAGTCATGAATGGTGCAGTCCCTTCTTATCATCTGCCCTTAAGTCTCATCCAAAGCTCATTTTTTGCAAGAGGAAAATCATAATCTATTTGCAAATCAAATTCTATTTGCTGAGCTTAAAGAAAGAGACTTCAAAAGTTCACGAATATATTTGCACCAAAATATGTATTTTTGTGAAACAGAATTTCTTTCCAAATTATTTTAATATTTTAAAAAGACCATTGTCTGGTGAGTAGTCCTGGAGCTCAGAAGGACAGATATGCAGAGAGCCCAATCTCCTGAAAGTTTTTAGGACAGAACAGTTTTCTGGAACTGCTTAGGTAAGACTAATTTTAAGCTAATGCTTTCATTTCCTCTTCCCATTTTTTACATTTTGTTACATATGAATAAAGATAATTTCCTTCTGTGTAAAAACATCTTTTCCAGTCACTTAGATATGAAAAGTTCCTCAATTACTCAGCAGTTTCCTATGTGAGAGTATAGAAAGATTGTAACTACTTGTCTGTGTCAGTTGATCCTAAGATATATAAAGCTGCAACAGTCATATGCTGGATCATTATTATTTAGGCCTGTGAAGTATTTTAGATGCAAGACAAAATGGAATATTGGAGCGTGCAGGGAAACACACACTGGATCTCTCCACAATTGCTGCATTTTTTTCTTGGGATTGCACAGCACTCTCCTACAATTGCTCAGGAAAAGACAGGTGCATGGCCCTATTAGTATTATGTATTTAAAGAATTAATTCCTGACATTAAATGTAGATAATTATTAAAGATTATTCAAACCATCTAATCAATAGCAGTAAATTAAGGAAACAGCTTACTAACGGGTCAATGCATCACATTTTCAGTATGTATTCATTCTGCAGTTGAGCAATGAAACTGTTATTTCTAGGATAGATGTTGTTCAGCAATTTGGTCACAATAGGCCACCAAAGACTTTATTCAAAAATGTAGAGACAAATGTTAACTACCACTAAATAAAGAATGTCCATCGATCACCAGCAAAAGATTGTACAAATTAATGGAGGTCATTAGGAGGACCAGAGGCAAAGAAAGAATTTTGTGCTTTCATGCAGAAAAAGGAGAATCTCGTCCTTTTTTAATCGTTCATCATAACAGAGACTACAATGCATACATATCTTACAAGGTATAAGGGCTTAAAAAGAAAGAAGAGTGGTAGGAAACAGAATAATCAAATTAAATTTAGATAATACTGCTTCCTTGCCTCTGCAAAAACTTCTCTGTATTTTGCACATTAAGAGGGTTAAGAGTTAAGAGGATAAGCAGATTTGAAATCAGTGAAAGAATACCCAGCTTGTAATAATATAGAGGAGGCTTAAATATCATGAATTAGCTAACTTGAGCTCCAGAATTGAGAAAGGAATGTTGGTCAAGTAAAGATAGAATGAGAAAGTTTGTTATATCTCTACGAATTTGTAAAGCGTCAGCAAAATACAGGTTTATCCATGTTCAGCATCCATATCCAAACAATAAAAAGTTGTACAAAATCCAAGACAAAACAATGAGGAAGCTGTCTGCCGTTTCCTGTCCCATTATTTATCTCTCATGTGCTACACTAGCTTGCAGTTACTTTCCAAAGCAATGCTTTTCAAACTTGGCAACCTTCGGATGTGAGGATTTCAAGTCCCAGAAAGTTGGCTGGGGAATTCTGGGAATTGAAATCCTCATATCTTAAAATTACCAAGGTTTAGAAACACTGATCTAAAAAGTCCAAAAGATCTTGGCTTTCACCTGCTCTCTGATCTTGTTCAGATGCCAAAGATTTTTCTTCTGAGCAGAAAAGGTACCAAGAAAATATCAATAATTTTCAAATCCTGCCCTAGGCTTGAGGAAGCTATCAGTAAAGTATCTTCTGATAACACAATACAATTCCTAAAGAAACCAATTCCCAAAAGAACACTCCAGCAAACATTGGTGGACGTAACTACATTTCTCACAAGGCCCTAAAATTCTGCTCTACACCTGCTCTACACCTGTAGCATAGCCTTTGATTGGGATTGACAGGACTCAAATTAAATGAATGGCTATAAATCAAGGACTACCTGTATTTGCCACAAGTTCCATAATATTCAAGAAATCACATTATAGTTTAGCTATGATACATGAACCCACTCTGAACCAACAACAACATATATTCAGCATTTAAAAATGAAGATATAATAATATGGGAAAATAAATGCAGATACTATAAGGCACTGGTGAAGTGAATTGCTTAGTGATCCCAAAAGAAGCAGTCAAACTTACCTGAGTTAAACCTGGTTATCCAGAGGGATCCATGGCAACAAAGAAAGTTAGATACTGAGAGTCACCTATTTCATTTCAAAGAAGTATCTTTAAGCAGTTGATAAAATTGTCACATTTACGGGCAATGTTCTCCTAAACATTTCTCTAAAAACATAATACTCCATGTGAAGAGCATAATTGGTACAAAATAGAAATGGTACTTCATATCTTCCCTCTTTTTATAAGGAATGGGATTGGAAAAGGGAACTAGATCAGAGCACTTGATTAAAGAGACAATAAGAGGCAGACATACCATTAAGTCTCTCTTATGAAGCCATATGGTTATACATTAGGCATCAAACATGAAGGACAAATTGCTCTCACATACAATGTGTCAATTCATTAAAAACAATATTTAAAGCATAATGTATTTTTTTAAAAGAAAGACCCATCCTTTACCCTATCCATTTCTTTCATTATTCAGAGGCTATTAGAACCCTAGATACTAAGAAAAGATGCCAGTTATAAACCTTATTGAACAAGAATGGTTCCATTATTTCCCTTTATCTCTCAGATAAAATAGTTCAATAAAAATCAGAATTTTTAAAAATTAAGAGAATGTTGAAATCAAATTAACTAGGTTCAGTTTTTCCTTTGTTTCTTCCCAAACTTATTAGCACATTATTCTTAATAAATGGACAAGGATAAACTAGGGTTGTGCCCATTCGGCAACAGTTTAGGGCAGTTTATATTAAAACTTAGATTCAATGCTTTAATGTAAACATTAAACATTTTAATTTTAAAAACTCAGTAACAGTCAAACTATTCTTTGAAGGCTTCTTAAAAGTCTACCAACGTTATTCTATTTACGAACTTTTTTGAGTTATGAATTTTTATCACCAATAAGAACAAATCTGCCTACAATTGCCGTGGTGGGATTCAATTTTTTTTACTACCGGTTCTGTGGGCATGGCTTGGTGGGCATGGCAGGGGAAGGATACTGTAAAATCTCCAGTCAGAGGTGGTATTTGCCGGTTTTCTGAACTACTCAAAATTTCGGCTACTGGTTCTCCAGAACTGGTCAGAACCTGCTTGAATGCCAACGCAGAAGATTCCGGACCTCAGGAGAAGGTTCACTATCAACTAACCCTTTTGTTTGGACTTATGAACAAAATGGACTTACGAACAGCATCTCAGAACATAATCTGTTCATAAGAGAAACGTCTGTATTCCCTGAAAATGGTTAGGAGTGCATTCCACAAGAATGAAGCAGTGTAAAAACAATTTAATCAGGAAGAGTATTTTCAGAGTAATTGGTATTAGTTTGGCTATGCTATGACTTTAGTTTTGTAATTCTGGACACCCTATTTTCTCCCATTTTCTTGCAGACTACAGACTTTTGGTGAGCACTAATGAGCACGAGAACAATGTCCAAAGCCACATATCATGGTTAACGTAGTGGCTTGACTTAGCCCAGTGTGAAATGTGAGGGCCATTTGTTAGGTGTGTTATGCAAACTACTCCACTAGTTGTTAGATAAGCACTAGAATACTTTTCAATTTAGATGTGTCCAGAAAGACTGTTTCTAGATTTTTATCAAAAAGATTTGATAAAGTCAGTCCAACTATAAAGGGGGCTGATGCAGAGCTGCACAGAATGGAATCACACAAGTTACTCCACTGGTCTAATGTGAGGGCAGAGAGAAATTAATATTATTTTCACCCTGTGGTTCTCCATGCTCCAAAAAACATTGTTTTAATTGTCTCCAGAATTGTGTGTGAGGAGTGTTACTGGGAAAGGGATAATAGGATTTTTTTTAAAAAAAAATCACTGTTGCCTTTTTCTAGAAGGAAAGTTGCAGTGGATGTTGATTTTCTCCACTACTGAAAAGAGCATTTCCCAGCAGATATATTTGTATAAGTTCATTTTGTGTGCAAAATAACCATTTAGCAAGTACACCAGAATATTATCTAAGCCAATGACACTATTTTATCATGTGCATCTCAAAGGTTTAAATGTATTACAGCACAGGTGTCAAGCTCGCAGCATCACGTTGCTATCATGTGATGTTTTGTGACTTTTTACCCTTCACAGAGCTCGGAGGGGCATGGCCTGGGCATGACGGATCTGGCCCGCAAGCCGCCAGTTTGACACCCCTGTATTACAGAGAAGAGGAATAGTCTCCTTGTATCAATGGTACAATGGCAAGCATGCTTTACTACCTTGAAATTTTTATGCATGCACAATACCAGAACATTTACAACAGCACAACTGGTATATATCAAATGCATTCATATGTCACAATTAGACTGAACTTAATTGTTTAATATATGAACTATTTGCACAGAAATATGTGGAGAGATTAGCATGTTTTACGGCTAATGGAATTAATATCCATTTGAGAAAAATGAATAGAACCAGGTTTTGGATGACCCAAAACATCAGTCTTTCTTAACCTTTCATCCTGTAGACATGCTAGACTACAATTCACATAATCCCCAGCAAGAATACTCATCTTGGCTGATGGTGCTGTACACATCAGAACAAGAAATCCATCTTTTTTCTGTATCTAATGATATTCTGCATATAATGTATATGATGTTTTTCTGTATATAATGAGACACTTTGACACTGTTCATACAGAAAATGAAATGTTGCATTGTATAGGTTGAAGCTCTAATACTCAATATTGGGACAAAATCTTTTTGTCACAGATAAATATATACCATGTATATTATTTTTCAACAGCCATCTTCTCAGTAAAATAAATACAGTTAATCTACAATTCAAAGTAATTGCAAATAACAAGTCTTTATTACACTTTTCTGGTTGTTTAATTGGATAAGTTGTACATGTACATTAAGTTTAAAATTAAAACCAAAATCAAGGGAAAATCCATTAACAAGACATGTATATATCATGTACAATTTTAAACAAAATGAAAAATACATAATTGTACCATAAAACAGCTATCTTCAAGTTTAAAAATAATTTAGGTTTCTCCTCTTTTTACATTTATACAGAAAAGCAATACAAAGTTATTTCCATTTGGCTCAAAAACTAAGAACATCATAAACAACTCCATCAAAACACTTTTTGTGAAAAGTGCTTAACCACATCTTAAGAGACTAGTGACTTTCACACATGTTTAGTGCAAATGTCTTTAAAAAGCCACTGCTAATAAGCAAATCTGTCGTTCTGTGTCTTTCTATGCACAAAATCACTCACAGCTGAAATAAAAGATTGCTTTGAGCCATTGCCCATCATGTGATGCCTCAAATCAATGTAATGCTATTAAAGGGCAGGACCTGGCTAAATCTACATGTCTTAAAATCTGAATAGAAAAATAGCTATCTTAAAATATAAAAAGTAACATGCTAATAGGCAGGTTACTGCATCAGTGATATACAAATCTTTTTCAGGATCTATACTGCATATGCTCTTATTTCTATTATTTCATCCAACATGTAGGTCATGTTCTACAATTATTACCTGCTCCATTTTAGTAATTCTGGCCTAAATCCAGAATTCTCTTGAAGTCAGCATATTTTTATTTCAAATCAGCTTAGCCCTGCTGATCAAATATAATTAGCTTGTCACTAATACTATTATGCAGTCATAAGTGTGTGTGGATCTCATTAAAATATAGCCAGCAATTCAGCATCAATCAGAGTAGTTCATTTGATTAAGAATGGCTTAACACCCCCAACTTTTTCCAAATCTGCACTGAATAAGTATCATGAGCCAATTGTGATTCAGATGGAAAAATTTAGTTTTAGGATGAAACAATGACATTTCATAATTGGATATATTCCTCTATCCCACCCCACCCCCAATGCATTTTTCATTCATTAGAAGCTGTTTGGCACCTACTTTTCCAACAGTAATCTGCTACTTCCACCAAGCTACTTAAAAAGAGATTCTGCAACCTATTTAGGAGTGCCATGCAACAACTTTTGCCTTCTTGGGCAGAAATAACTAAACAACTACCTTTCTGAATATACTGCATAACCCATATGCAAATTATTTTTATGTTGTATTCAGCAGATATAGATAGGGAAAGGAAATAGGGAAATTTTCTTTTAAACAAAACCCCTACTTGTAATCTTGTTTTTCATTAGATCTAAGGAGACAGATAATAACTACATTAGCTTCAGAGGTTCTTCATTTATTCCAGCACCAAGAGCAATGATTAAGAAGGCTCATTCACCCAAAATGAAAACAATTAGAAGGGATTTAGAGTTTTGAAGGATAGCTTTAATCCCTCCAAAAATGGTCCCAACAATTTTAGCCAATCCTCAAATGAGGTAATAAGGGACTGGATTCTTCACCCTGGCTTAACATGTTAGATAAACCAAGTCAATTTTGGTTTCTTGAACAAACTATTATTTAAAAGAATCACAGTTCAATATGATGTATGAGCCCAGCTAAATCTTGTCCAATGACACCCTTGACTTTTCCCCAATGCCTTCATTTTTTGTTACTGCTGGCTGCAAAGCATGGCTGACAAGGCAACTTCAGTTGAGGACTATGAAACACTATTTAAGAGAACCCCATTTTAGCAGTTTCTTCTCCACCTGCAGAGAAAGAAATGTGCAGTATTTCTATGGCCTCCTAGAACCCCCAAGATTGCATTCTAAAAGTATTTTTTGTTAAATCGCTAAGTTCTACTGCAAACAGACACCAAGAACCTGCAATTGTCTTCCTATTTATTCCTTAATAAAATCTATCAATATTCTTTGTTATTTAAAAAAAACTATGAAATAAATAAATCACATTTCCCTATAATGTATATGTTAATTCTTTCTATTCTTTTAAACCAGTTTCCCCCACAAGCTGTTCAGCTTTTTTCTCTCTTTGTTTTAGTTTGGGTAACTTTTCCAAGGCAGTATATACAAATGCAACAAAATACTGTTTGTAAATTCTAATAAATATACTATGTACCCTTACATACAAAGCCACTTCATAAAAAATAATTTTAGGGGTACAGAATAAGTAACAGTTTCCATTCGTTTAGTCTTACTTTTAATCAGCCAATAGAGAAAAGAGCTTATTCAAGTATACCACACTTGAAATATCAAGATATGACATTTTTCCTGAAATCAAATTCTGTAATTATTATAACTCTAATAATCGCTTTTGTTGCCAGCAACACAGTATATAAAATTCAAAGGTTATTTCTATGAGCCAAACAACATTTTTAGTAGTAATGTAGATTGATAAATATTAAACCATTGAATTCATCTTTTTCATTTTTCAATAATGATAACTTTTAAATAAATCAGCATTCAGGTAAGAATTAGAAAGGAATGTTCGTGTAAACTCATCATTTATGGAAGTCAATGTTATAGATCCATTATATAAAGTATAAAAACTTAGCAATCAGGAAGTAAGACAAAAGTTCCAGGATTGAAGGAGGGAATATAGTTTCTTTTTCATCTCTGGAGGTCATGTCATCCCCCTGAGAACTATTGCACAATAGAGTATACACCTATTTGAGACACAGTCTTTTATTACAGCATAATGTAAAGTTACATTATAATTGTCTTTGGAGCAATCAAATAAACATCCCATTGCATCCCAAAACTCAGTTGGATTTATCTTGGATGTTAGCAAAGCTGGCATTTGAGTGGATTCGCTTACCTAGAAAGAGAAGAAAAGTATATAATCCCACAAAGACAGTTCATAGCATATTTATACAAGAAATCTGAGACCCCAGCAACATAATTTGTACGGAGAGGCATCTGGAACAAGTCATAGTGATAGTATATGTGTTATGATATCATTGATTTACCAATTAAATTTGCATCATTTGTATAACAGCTTTGTGAGGCTTCATATTTTCCCACAGTGAATATCAAAAATAGTGTTAATGCAAAAAATCCCAAATTATACTTACAAATCAATCAGAAGAATGTTGATTTAAATAGTTTTGGACTTAGATAGATAATTATTCTGTCCAATCAGTGCAAAGAGATCCAAAGCAGGTGAGGAGCTATTGAGAAGACCTTTCCTCATTTTCCCATGGCAGGAGAGTGAGAAAGGGTTTTGCAAACAGATCTTAAAATTTGGACAAGTTCAAAGAGAGGAAAGTACTCTTTAATGGAATAGACCTCAAGTCATGCAAGACCTCATAGATCATTGCTATTAGTCTTAAGTGTGCCAGAAATAGATCAAAAGCTGACATTAACAAGGCTATCACATGCTATGTGTTACAGTTCCTAGTTAATGATGTGGCCAGTGTTATGAACTACCTAAAGTTCTTCCAATGAGCAGTAATATCTAGAATGCTCCAAAATCCAAACAGAATACAAAGGCCTATGCCACTGTGGTCTGGTCTAATTTCCAGGAGCAAAAGTAATCTTGGCCACCATTTAAACTTGAGAAATCGCATTAAAGAGTTGAACCAGGAATACACAAAACGACAAATCTGAAAATGAGATAACTGCTGTCCATGCTCAAATGAAAACTGAATCCTTTTTTTCCAAATGACAAAGTGGACCTCTATTTTACCTGGACAACTTGTTTATTTGTTCATTTTTATCAACTGTCGAATTATTCTGGGTACCAAAACAGCCAACATATACAGTCGAATTGTATGAAAGAAGTTACCGCATACAGTAACTTGACCATACTACAAAGAGAGGCTTCTTCACACCATTTATCTAAATCGTGGCACTCAAGTAGTTTTATAAATAAATAGTTGACTAGAATACTGAATATGATGTTGCTCATCACAGATGTTGAACAATATGCTGGGTCTGTTCAGAAATAGCTAACTGTAGATAGTAAGCTGCCCATCTTTACTACCTTAAAAGAAAGATAGGAGAAAATCATCCAATTGTCTAATTCATTCCATCTGAACTGCCACTGTAGTAGCCCCCTTGACTCAGAAGGGCTTGATAAAGACAGTTGAGACTTCTTTAGTCACTCAAAGAATGCAGCAGTGGGGCAGAATCAAATGATGCATTATCAGCTTCCAACCCAGTTTATTCTAATCAGATTGTGAACAGAATCCCAAATTCCAAAGCACCCAAGACTGGGCATCAAGCCATTTAGGCGGCAAATACCACTTTCAGTGTTGTAACCTTTTTTTTTTTTTTTTTGAATTTCAATCCAAATAGAAACCATAAAGATTAGGTGATTTTACTTACCCAGAATCAGGACACGTTTTTTCTGCTTTGAGTGAAGAAAGGTACTCAAGTAGAAAACAAGCGGCAGAAAGAAAATGAACAAAGAAACTGCAATCACTGGCACTGTATCTGTGCAGGGGACAGAGCAATTAAAAGTTGTGCTCCACAGCCTTTGTGTGATGTTCATCTAGAAGGACACAATTGTAAAAAAAAAAAATACCAAGGGGATTAAGACATCTGAGGAATCATCAATATCTGGGCAAAGTTTTGCATTGAATGAGCATCAATCAGTATGTCTAGCATTTACTGGGTACAGATCCTGCCTCCCTGGATAAAATGCAACATATTTTTTACAATTATCAGGCCATCCATATTGGCATTTGTAAATTTAGCAATCTCATGGGTTTTCAGATATATTTTAAAATGTCCACCCTGAAAAGCTTTAAATGTAGCAGCCAAGTGCTTTATTAAGGTGTTCTTCATAGTTCAACATTTGAATTTGTATTAACCACAATCCCATCATTTCATACAGTAAAAAGAGCATCTGCTTATTTGGATACTATATAGAAGATGCCAAATTCATGTGTCTTTAAGAAAGGCTTAAAACAAAACAAATGAAAACCTCTCAGTGGATCCATATTAAGAAAATGTCAGAAGGATGTCCACAGAAGTACAGTAGAAACTTAATGTAAATGGCTGATGGGACCCAAGCCTGCACCTAGCAATGTGCCTCATCACTGCTAACATATCACAGTATATGGGCAAAAGACATCCGTTAATTGATCCTTTGAGAAACCAGCCAGTGAGGTAAACAGAGACTGGATCCTCAGGAGCTGAAAATACAAAACTGGACAGCCAGAAAAAGATGTTTTTATTGTAAGATTAAACACTGGTGGATTTTCAGCCATTTTGCCTTGGAAAGTGCCAAAATGCCTGAACTAGGTTTATTCAAATCATTACCAATATATGTAGAATTGATTAAGTGCCATCAAACCATTCCAGATTCCTATGTAAACTAGCAAATTACATTAAAATGCTTCCTTTATCAGTAATTACCCTTATTATCATGTTATTTAAAAAGCTGTATTTTCCCAAAAGGCACAAAAGACAATGACACTATGCTGTGGTTTTATCCAATTTACTGCTGTATTCTGTTTTATTGCACTGGAACTTTAGCTACATTCTAATGAGATTAATAATAATGAAGTAACTAAATTGGACAAAAGCCAACTTGAAACACTAGACTAGAGCATGGGTGTCAAACTCATGGCATCATGTTGCTGTTACATGACGTTTTGTGACTTTTTTTCCCTTATCAGAGTAGGGGTGGGTATGGCCTGTGCATCCAGCCCGCGGGTTGCCAGTTTGACACCCCTGCACTAGAGTATATTCAGAGGTGATACAAATGCACATAAGGAAAGCAAAACAGAAAGTAAGACTTACTGCATCTTCTATATCAATGCACAAATGAAACTGTTCTCCAGATTCTTCATGCTGCCCATTCTGCATCTCACTGTAATAGGAACTCAAGTTTTTATACGTAGCATTGCAGTTCTTGCAGACCACTGAGTAGTTACTTGGTAGCAGGTTATCTTCCTGGCCATACAGTAGAAACCAAGAAATTATTTTTTAAAAGAATAGGTTACAAAATTCAAAATGAGTTTGAATCCAAGTGCAAAAGACTGCCACAATTTTTTTAAAAAATTGCAAGGTAAGTGGAAACTTTTACAGTCAATCTTCCACTTGTACTACGACTAGAATTTCCATTGCTAAGTAAGGTGTATATTAAGTGAGTCATTCTTAAATTTTTGACCTTTTTTGCCATAGTTGTTAAGTGAATCACATGGTCATTAAGCGAATCCGGCTTCCCTCATTGACTGCTTGTCAGAAGCCAATTTGGAAGGTTGCAAATGGCTATCACATAACCCCCAGGACAGTGCAACTGTCATAAATACATGCCATTTGCCAAGCACTCAAATTTTGATCATGTGACCATAAGGATATTGCAACAGTCATAAATGTGAGGACCAATTGTAAGTAATTTTTTTCAATGCCATTGTGACTTTGAATGGTTGCTGAATTAATGGTTGTTAGTCAACGACTACCTCTATTTTCTACTGAAGAAACACTCCAAAAAATACAAATAAAAGATTTAGATGGATGGGTTTCTTAAGCTCCCTGGTTTAGTGATTCTTTATGATACAATGTCATTAATAAATATTTTATAGAGCAAATCT